TTCGTAAATATTAACTCATGGAATCCTCATCATATCCTTATGAAGTAGATAAAATCACTCTCTGCAGTGAAGAAACCTGGGACTCGGAGGTTAAATAATTCTGCACAGGTCACACGGCTGGCAGAGTCCAGAGCTGGGATCCATGCAGGCTCCAGGATCACGGGGCAGGGCCTTCCAACCACGGCCGTGTCACCCGGTGCCAGCTGCAGGGACTCAGAGGCTGAGGAGGGCATGGCTGAGGTTCCTCCCTGCAGCTCACCAGGGGGTGGTCCTGCCTTCCTGAGCTTACGCCAGAGGACCCTCCTGCAGCAGGTAGCACTACGGCCGGACCGGAAAGGAGACAGTCTAGGGGAAGCGGGCCCGTGTTGTGCGTTTCCAGCAACACTTCAGGCCTGGTAGCCATAGCTGGGGAGGCCCAGCTGCGGAATGAGGAGTTTCTGGCTCCTGCCCGCTTTCTACCAGGCCATAGGGTGCCGGGAAACCCATGGCCTCTGGGCTCAGTCTCCCCTGCAGTCAGGAGAGCTCCCGTGGCTCCTCTACAGTCCTTTCCAAGTCTGGTAATTTAGGATTTTGATGGAACCGTGGTGTTTCTTGACGGAACAAAAGTCTTAAAGCAAGGCTGCAAAAGCTTGCTGGAAAAGGATCCAAGTCTCCATGGAAAAAAGCCTGTTGCTTCCAACAGTGTTTTGGTAAGACTAAAACACTGAGCGTGTCCAGACTGGACTTCTCCTGAGCAAGTGGGAAAAGAAAGAAATGTGTGTGAATGTGTCTGTTACGGGCCCGACACTGTCCGTTATCCACCTTCCAACTGGCTTCAGAGAAGACATGAATATTTCCATCCTGCTGGTGAGAAAACAGTCTCCCGTAGCTGCAGCGGCTGTCTCAGTGGCAGACCTGGCCCCCCAGGGCCTGTGGAGAGCTGTTCACTTTTTTGGGAACGCCGACTGCACCCCACCTCGGAAGCTCAGCTGAAGCCCCCGCAGTCTCCAGGAAGCACAGGATCATGTTGGGATGGAGACGGCTCCCGCTCTGAGCCCTCGGTGAGTGTTTTCTCCCTCTGACATTCCCTGGCTAATGTGGCGTGGTCCATGCAGCTTCCTGCTGGCTGTCTCCTCTACTCCTAGGCTTCCTCTAAGCCTGAGCCCCACAGCACATCCTCTAAACCCACCCGCACGTCGCCAGAAAGCCCCAGTCCACACACCTGTGAGTGAAGGCCCTCTCCACGCTGAGCTCATCTTGTTCCCGCACCATCTCTCACCCGGACTCAGGGCTCGCCCGTGTGTCAACAGAGGACTGGTCAGGGACTGTGCTGCAGGTGCAGCTCAGGCAGGGAAGACTCAAGGTGAATAAGGAGCGTTATGTTAAAAAATCCAGGGGCCTACATACGCGTGGGGGTGGGTGACTGAAAAGCAAACAAATGCCCTGTGGGTGACCAAGATTATCAGGGTGAAAAGTAGGGGGTTCTAGTGGCACAGAAGCAGAGGCTCTGGGACAAGCCAGGGAAACCCAGGAAGACTTCTGAGCAAAATGCTTGAGCAAACAGTGTTTCCAAAAAAAAAAAACCATTTCTATGCAAATCTTTGTGGCTGGATGGCTGGGTGGGGGGCACGCAACTGAAGCAATGAATAGAATACAGGAATGGATACGTCCATTCGCCTTTCACATATTTCTAATCAGACTGTAGGTTCCTTAGGTCAGATATCATGCTTATAGTTTTTGGATTATTTATGGTTTTATCAGCCAGGCATGGTGGTGCACGCCTGTAGTCCCAGCTACTCAGGAGAGGCTGAGGCAGAAGAATCGCTTGAACCTGGAAGACGGAGATTGCAGTGAGCTAAGATCACGCCACTGCACTCCAGCCTGGGTGATAGAATGAGACTTCATCTCAGAAAAAAATAAAATAAAATAAAAAATAACAACAAAAACCCCATCGTTTTAGATTTCTTCAGAATTTCTTCAGAGTTTCTTCCTGAGGCAGAGGGCACTGCAGGGCTGCGGTGTGCCTCTGCAAAGCCTGGGCACTGTGTGTGGCCTGGCTGGGGACAAGCCCCCAAATTAAAATAGATGTGTTCTTTAAAAACAAACAAACAAACAAACAAAAAGTTCCTTTTGCACTTCAGTGCTGTGTGACTTACACCCACTTCCTGGACTGCTGACGCATAGAACAGAGAACCCAGATGAGGCAAACAAGCCTCCAGGAGCAGAACCACCATGGGCCCCCGAGTGGCCTCCCCCTGGCAGGCTTGGCCCAGCCCCAGATTCAGGCAAGTCTGTCTGGGGAGCACTTTCCCAGGCTGATCCCAGCTTCCAGCTTCCCCCCCAACCCAGGTACCACATTGGTACTGGATCTGGTTCTGATGACCAAGGCGCTAGGGGTCTTTGGCTTCCATATCCCCTTCAGATACAGCTGCCTCTTGTCGTGATGCAACTGGGCTCCGCCTGTGCTGCTGTCCTTTGGGGGGTTCCCAGGCCACGGATTCATCTACGTCCTTACAGGGGATCTAGCTTGGGATTTGAAGGAGTCACCTCTTATTCACTTATTCATTCAGCAAATGAATCTCAAAGGCCACCTCTGCCCCGGCTGGACAGTAAGCACTGTGCACCTGCAGCTGGCTGTGGAGTTGACTTCGTACATATCCACCACGTGTTGGCAGGCATTTCCTGCTAAACCCCTGGGACCCTGTGCCTCAGCCTCCCTAGACACGGCCTACACTGGGCACTCTGTGGGTGCTGCGGGAAGACTGGATGCGTGGAAGCTCGTTACAGACTCCAGGCCAGGGACAGCCTCCACCCCTGACTGCACCCTCAACTGACAGCCAGTGTGGACCCCACATGCCTGGGCCTCACACCTGAATCACTGCTGAGCCAGCCACACACTTTGGACGTGAGTCTCAACCTTCTTCTGGCTTCTGCAGCGCAGCCCTGCTGTGGGGAAGTTCCGCAAGCCCCACTCACTGCTGCACAGGATTGAAATAAGACCCCTGCTTGCTCGAGCACCAGAGCTGCACAGCAACCCACACTTCTGTTACCCAGAGCCTCAGTTACTCCAAAGGCCACTTTTATGTCCTCACAATGTGAAGGAAGGAGCAGAGGGCTCACAGAGAAAGCAAACAAATGACCAGCAAACAAATCTACAGAAACAAGTGAAAACTCTCAGAAGAACCAACAAATGCAAATCCTAATGACCAGGGTAGGAGGTAGGAGTTTTGCTTATTAAAGTTAAAATGATTAAAATTTAATATACAAACAAACAGAAATCATGTTTGGGAGCCTGCGCTGGGGAACAAGGCCAGTCCCTGCCTCCCTGAATGAAAAGGAACCTTTCGGAAAGCAATGCGAGCGTGGGCGTTCAGAGCCATCGGCAGGTTCATTTGCTTTAACCAATAATTTCACTTCTGGGAAAGCAGCCTAAAGAAATAGTAATAAATTTGAAAATAAATAAATAAAGCCTTAAGTTTAAAAATGTCCATCAAAGCATTGCTTTTTTTTTTTTTTTTTACACCGAGTCTCACTCTGTCGCCCAGGCTGGAGTGCAGTGGTATGATCTCAGCTCACTGCAGCCTCCGCCTCTTGGGTTCCAGAAATTCTCCTGCCTCAGCCTCCCAAGTAGCTGGGACTACAGGTGCATGCCACCATGCTGAGCTAATTTTTTGTATTTTTTAGTAAGGACGGGGTTTCACTGTGTTATCCAGGATGCTCTCCATCTCCTGACCTCCTGATCTACCTGCCTCGGCCTCCTAAAGTGCTGGAATTACAGTGTGAGCACTGGGCAGCATGGTTTTTAAAAGTGAAAAACTGGAAACGATTGTAAGTGATCAATATCTGGACAGTAGGTACCTGAATTATGGCTTATTCACTCAAGGGAATGCTGTGCCGTCACTTAAAACAACCTCTAAAGACTTCATGGCAGCACGGAGAAAACACTGCATGTCAGAACAGCAAACAGGACACACCATGGAATAAAGGCTGTGAGGCTGTGGAAGGAGACTTCCCGTGTGAGGATCTTCACGGGAAATATGCTTCTGTGCCCACTGCAGTTGTATCAGGATGGCAGGATTACAGGCTATGTTTTGCTATTTTTTAAATATGTTACACTTAAATGAAGGATAAAGAACCAGTCCTTATAGAACTAGAGAGTCACATCCTGCAGGAAGACAGGATGGGGCAGACTCCAAAGGAGCGTCTCAGACATGGGCTAGGCAAGAGGGCCTAGCCCCAGCTCTTGGGATCCATTGCTCCAGGTCAAAAGGAACTCAGTGAATGGGCCTGGGAAGAGAGGACTGAAAATCCAGCACCAGCTGCCATTTGGGAAGGTGGAGCTGGGTTTGGATTCACAGTGCTTGGGCAGAGACCCCCGCTCCCCAGTGGAACCTCGAGCCAGCAACAACAGCAGCACACGTGGCGGAATCCAAACGGAGGACTCGTCCACTGCTGCCTGGCAGCTGTCACAAACAGCCTCCGCCTGGCCTCAGACATGTCGGTTGCCATGGTAATCTACATCCAACAGCCCAAGCGTAGGCCAGTTCACAACACTTGGTGACAGTGGCTCAAATGCAGGTCACCAAGGCCACTCCTGTCACCCCTCACCCTCCCTTTTGTTTGAGAGCCCAGGTAACTGAGGAGCGGGGAAGTTATGCAGCTTGCCAAGTAAGATGCCAGCCCTCTGAGGCAGCAATGGGGAGTCTGGAGTCCAATCCAGGGCTCTCTTAAAACCCGTCTGGTCTGGAAACCCTAAATTTTGCCCTGGTGCAGAGAATGACAATACCTGCAGGTACCGAGACCACAGCCTTCCCAGCACAACTTATATTTAGGGTGGGAAATTAACACGCTCTCTGCGCCAGCCCTTGCCTGCCACATGCACATGCATGCACAAACATACATGTACACACATAGGCATGCATGCACTCACACACAAGCATACACAGAGCGATGGTCCCAGGTACCCTCTCCCTCTTTTCTGTGGAAAGCCATATTGATAAATGAGCACAGACTGTAAATACCTTTTCTCCTCGAGTTCCCTTTTCACCTCGTTCTCCTTGGAGACCCTGCCGGGAAAATTAAAAAAAAGAGCAGTGACCCAACATCTTAGTCTGGCTTCTCTGTGCTCACCATGGGAGGGTCTGTGGAGAAGCTGCCTGGCACTTCCAGCCCAGGGTGGCAGGGATGGTGACAGTGAAGACCCCATCTCCCTGTGTGGTCTAAGGCCACAAAGCAGCCACTGTGTGATCTGGGCCTAGGCAGCAGAGGCAGGCCACTTCCAGAGTGAGACCTGAGTTCCTGGGCTTGTCCCTTGGCTTAGGCTATCCAGGTCCTCATGGTCATAGATTGGGACATAGCCTGGCTCCTGAGCTCAAGTGATCAAGGACAGAAATGTGGCTTCAGAGTCAGTTTCCCCCATCATACCACGCCCGTGATGCCTCGACCCTGGTTCCCAGGTTCCCAAAACTGAATCAAAGAATGGCTCCTTTAAGCCAATGCCCCTCCTCCCTCAGGGATAGGGTCAGTGTCTATCCCTATTGCTCATCCCACCTTCATCTAGAGCAACACCCAGACCCTGTGCTGTGGACTCCCTGCCCCTCATGTGCAGACGAGGTGGGAACGTCAGCCAGGATGTGGGGTTCTCTGGGTGCAGGATCTAAAACATGACACCCCTGTTCCACCCTACCCCATCATTCATGGTCACTCCATCCTCTTACCATGCTTTACTTTGTTGACGGTACTCAGCCCTGGATGCTGCATTTTCTGCCTCCCTCAAGTAGAATGGAAGCCCCACAAAGGCAGTTCCTTCAATATGGTATCCCCAGAGTCTAGAGCAGAGCCTGCCACATGGTAGGCACTAATACTCATTTGTTAAGTGAATGACTGACTCAGTGAGTGACTATGTCGATCCCTCATCTAGCACAGGAACCTTGGAGGGGTTGTGTCTGAGGGCTATTGCCCCACTCTGAGAAGCAGAAGGCCCAGCAGTGCATGCCCTGCTCTTCCCAGGTACACAAATCACCCAGTCAGGCACTGGGGCCGCCCATACGAGCTGATTTGAAAGCATAGCTTCTCCCAGGCAGTGGCCTGCAGGTCAGGCAATGGCACAGGGCAGGGCCTGCTGGATAGGCAGGAACGTGTCCTATTTAACTATGAACTCCCTGTGGGCTCCACTCTCTTTTCTCACCTTTCTTGGAGAGGAGACCCTGGGGCATTCAATGGAAAGATGGCAGAGATAGCAGGTAGCACCCAAACATCCTTGTTGATTTCAGGAATGATACACACATGACCTAGATAGAGTACAGGGCCCAGGCCATGGATGCTGTCCTAAATAGTAGAACATCTGCAGGGCCATCCAGGCCTAGAGAATGAGCGGACATCTTTGCTGTTATAATTTCATCAAATATTTTGGCCAGACACACAGAGGTCAGAGGTCTTCAGTGTCCCCCTGGTAACCCAAGCTGCTTTGTAAATGACACTTTACATGGCTTCATTTGAAGAGAATCTCAAATCTTTTTTTTCACTTTAAGTTCTGGGCTACACGCTCTGAACATGCAAGTTTGTTACATAGGCATACATGTGTCATGGTGGTTTGCTGCACCTACCAACCTGTCATCTAGGTTTTAAGCCCTGAGTGCATTAGGTATTTGTCCTAATGTTCTCCTTCCCCTTGTCCCCACCCACTGACAGGCCCCAGTGTGTGATGTTCCCCTCCCTGTGTCCATGTGTTCTCATTGTTCAATTCCCATTTATGAGTGAGAACATGCGCTGTTTGGTTTTTCGTTCCTGTGTTAGTTTGCTGAGGATGATGGTTTCCAGCTTCATCCATGTCCCTGCAAAGGACATGGATTCATTCTTTTTTACGGCGTCATAGTATTCCATGGTGTATTTGTGCCACATTTTCCTTATCCAGTCTATCATTGATGGGTATTTGGGTTGGTTCCAAGTCTTTGCTATTGTAAATAGTGCTGCAATGCACATATGTGTGCTTGTGTCTTTACAGAGAATCAAGCATAGTGTTAGATGTTCAAGAAGCCATTTTGCTCCTTGTATACCATATCTGTTTGTTCATCTCTTTATTCATTGGACCTACTGAACACCTATTATATGTCTGGCACTGCTCCAGGGGCTAAGAATTCAGTAGACTCCACCCACCCTTCCTCCAAGAGTACAGGACTGAACAGGCTAGGGAAAATAAATTATTTAGATTAAGGATCAAAAAATCCTGGAATGCTGGCTAAAAATGCAGATTACTGGGATCTACCCACTTTGTTATGTGAGAAAGGGGTCCCAGGAATATGCATTTAAACTTGTTCTCTGGGTGATTCTTATGGACTGTAACATCTAAGTATTTCTGGTCTAAGAAAGGAGAGACCAACCCTTCATTGACATCAATAAGGCAAAACAGCATTATTGTCTAGATGCAGGTGGAGGAACTTGCTAGAACCTGGTTCTTGGTTCCTGGAGAAGGGGTAGAGCCCCTGCCCAGACAAGTGCCTTCACTTACAGGAGCTCCGCCATGTCCGGGAAGTCCAGGTGGTCCTTGGGGCCCCTGCAGAAGAGCATTTACAGAGAAAAGTGTCGCGGATGGAAGGGAAAGGCAAGCGCAGCGGCACAGCTCAGCAGTCCCAGGTACGGTGACAAGAACAGCCGCCTCTCATCCCACCACGTGCTGCCCGTACTGCTCACGCGGGTCTCACCAGCAGACACCCCCCCGACCTTTGCTTCCCTTCTCTTTTCAGAAGTCATGCTATCTGCTGCCTGGTGGAGCCCTGATTCACACCCAGATACTCTTGACTTCAAGGAACAGCTAACGGTGTCTGCCTATGAGCCACCACGAGGCCAGATGCAACCATTCCATTTCATTCTCCCTGGGCCCCTCAGCCTCCCCAGATCAGGCCTGGATATGTTCACAGCTTCTGAAACATTACAACTGATTCCCGTGGCTCATGATTCACACTTTGCCATGGGCTCAGTACAGCCTGGACAAGTCCCAACACAGAGCCCCGCAGAAGTCTGCAGACCTGGAGGCGCCTCTGCTACCCAGACCGTGCAAGGCTATTGCCTCTGAACAACTAGCTTGAAAATAGCTATGAAAGGCTGCTAAAATAACAACGTGCATTCATTCCACCAAGGCCATCCCAATTTTTCATCTAGCCTACTGCAATAAAAATATAGTAGATAAGGAGAAACACACAATGCACACATACATGCATTCAGCACTTCTTTAACTTTAGCGGAAAACAAATGACATTAGTATAGTCTTCAGGACCACAAATAGGGGAATGGTATGTATTACAATACACCCATATGAATGTGACATATTATTGTATCCATATATGATTGGATACATCCAACACATCCAATTCTGTGCATTGATTAAGAGAACGTATGGGGCCCATCTGTATTTACATAGAAAGATGCTTTTCAAGTCTTGTTAAATGGCAAAGATAAATGACTAAGTATGATATAAACACATTTTTGTAATCATTTAAGAAAAATCACTTCTATGTGGATATACACACACAAATGTGAGCACAGCTATATGAGAAGGGGAGGCAGGGAACCTAACTGAGCATCTCTTCTGCACCTAAAGCAACTGGCTTTGCACTGGGACTTATCCCTGCAAGCATCAGGAGGGCCCAGCTCCTAACAACACTTACCCGCATGCCGACCTCACCCGGTAGCCCCGGCTCTCCCAGCTCTCCGGGCTCCCCCTGAACAAACACAACAGCACAAAGTCATCGGCAGTGGGACACAGGTCCAGGCATACCAGAGCAGCCCACAGCCTCCCAGAGCCTCTGCTTCCTGCAGCTCAGAACTCATCACAGAAACAAGGTAACCCCCAGTGAGCAGGGCCCAGGCTCTCCTCAGATGCTTTTTCTGTAAGCAAAGAAGCTGACCTTCGCTGCACATGGTATTTTTTTTTTCTTTAGAAACAGGGTCTAATTCTGTCTCTCAGACTGGAGTGCAGTGGCACAATCATAGCTCATTCATTATAAACTCAAAATACTTGGCTCAGGTGATCCTCCCACCTCAGGCCTCCAAGTGGCCTGGGCTACAGGCAGCATCACTGCACCAGGTTGTTTTATTTGTTGTAGAGATAGAGTCTCGCTTTGTTGCCTAGGCTAGTCTTGAACTCCTAGCCTCAAGCGATCCTCCTGCTTCAGCCTCCCAAAGAACTGGGATTACAGGTGTGAGCCACCATGCCCAGCCACACAGTATTATCTCCACTCCCACCCACTCCTGTGGCTGGAAGCCAACAAAATTAAATCTGGAGAGAGCAGGGGAAAGTATAAAAACTGGCACCACCCTGATGGCTGTCTTCACGGAAAGGACGCTGGCCACCTAGAGTGAGGTGAGAAGAGAGTCTAGGCTCCATGGAACTTTCCTTTCTCCCTTGTCTCCAGGAGTTTAGACCACCTGTCCTGAAGTGCTGCCAGCTGTGGACCTGAGCACTGCTCATAAACCAGGTTCCCTCTCGGATCACATGTGGCTAAACATGGTGAAGGGATCAGAGAGGTGAAGGACGCAGAACTAATGTCCACTTGGACTCTTGGTGGAGAGGAGACTGACCCACCAGAGCTGAGATCACTTTGAGCTTGGGTTGCTGGAGGATGTTGTCGCTCAGAGGCAGGTCAGATGAAGAGGTGGGGTTTGGGGTAATGATCAGAGGAAAGCTGGCTGGCCACATAGGGTGTGGGGTGCTGCTTGGGTCTCACTCTGACTCTTCTAGCTACAAACTGGGGTCTTAAGTAATTCCTTTGCCTCACTGGGGCCAGTTCCAAGTCTAGGTGTGGGGGATAACAAGGCTGCCTTACAGAACTACTTGTTAACTAAATGAGAAAATCATTTCCAAGGATAGGCAGGCAGTACTGGGGGCAAAGCTGCTGCTGGTCTTGTCACAGCTATTAGGCTGAGCCCCTGGCATCTGGGAGGATCCTGATACAAATAAGTCCCCGCGTAAGCCTGGCCCTGGCAATGTCACCCACTTGAAGACACAGGGCTCTGATCAGGAGGTCACCAGCCCAGTGCTGCCTTATGAGCCAGGGCAGAAGGACGGAACTTACTCTCATGCCTTTGCTGCCATCTCTCCCAGGGGGGCCGGGCAGACCCATGGAACCCTAGAACCAGAAAAAGAGAATAGCAATTAGTACAGAATGACTGAGACAGCCTCTCAGAATGCTAGTGCAGCAGAGCACCTGCCAGGAAGGGACGGAAACTATGGCCAAGACTGCCACTCAAACATTGGTCCACAAGCCTGCAACATGGGCATCGCTTGGGATAGCATAAAATATAGATTCCCAGGTTTCACATCAGATCTACATCAGTGTCCACATTATAGCCACATACCCAGGTGATCTGTATGCACCTGCCATGGGAGTAAGCAGCTCTGGTCCATAGCCCTACCTAGCTGGAGGTGTGTCCCTTCTTCTCTCCGGGCTTGGTGTCACATGTGTAAAGTAGAGGATTGGGCTGCAGCGGGGCCCTCAACCTTGGCACCATAGTCATCGGGCTGGATAAGCCTTTGCTATGGGGCCGAGCTGTGCCCTGTAGGATGCTCAGCTGCATCCCTAGATGCCGGCAGCACCTCCAGGGATGAAAACCAAATATGTCTTCAGATATTGCCAAACACCTCCTGGGTGGCAAAATCCCTCCTGGTTGGGAACCACTGGGCTAGAAAAGGTATTCAACCTGTTTTAATTTTAGCTGGGACAAAACTCTTTCTAAAGAATCTCATGCAGACACGCATGACATGCATAAACACAGAGCAGCTGTGGAAAGTAGGGGGCTAGACCAGCTCCTCACCCCCCTTTCTATTCCACACACTTCCTGGAGAAGGCGTGGGGAGGCAATTTAGAAACAGGAAACTCTAGCACCTCTAAGCTCCCACCCAGCTCCAACACCTCTTGGTGCCAATCAAAGGATCCAGCCTGAGACCTCCCGCCCCGCTCCCAGCTCACCATCAGTGTCTGTGTGACACTGAGCAAGGCTGCACCTCTCCCTGGGCTGTTGCCATCTATACAGTGAGGGTGCTGGATATTCAGTGAATGAATGAACACTCGAATCTCCATGTAAAGTTTACAAAACACTATGTGCTGAAGTATATTTCTACATACATCATCTGATTTACTCATCATAATCCTATGAGATATGTATTATTTTCTCAAAGAATATCAGATATATTTCTTGTAGACTTTATCTACAAACACACATGCACACAGAGGCTTTTAAAATTTCTATGAAGTACCTTCCATGGCCTCAACATTCTCTCTAAGTCAGCATGATATTGAAGAGAAAGATGGACAGACAGATGTCTCTGGCCATAGCATGAGACAGACATGAGTCCATCTCATCTCTAGACCTTCCTGGCTGTGAGACCTTTTTTTTTTAGACATAGTCTCATTCTGTCACCTAAACTGGAGTGCAGTGGCATGAACATGGCTCACACAGCCTTGACCTCTGGGGCTCAAGAGATCCTCCCACCTCAGCCTCCTGTGTAGCTGAGACTACATGCACACACCACCACACCTGGCTAATTTTTGTGTTTTGTTTTTTTTGTTTTTTTTGTACAGACAGGGTTTCACAATGTTGCCCGGGCTGGTCTCGAGCTCCTGAGCTCAGGCAATCCACCTGTTGGCCTCCCAAAGTGCTGAATTACAGGAGTGAGCCACTGTGACTGCTCTTGGCTGTGAGACCTTAAACACACCCTAGAAGGCTCAGGCTCCCACTGGCCTCAGGTCTCAAGTGTGGATGTTGCTACCAGCGGCAGGATGGCTGCAGGTGAGGCGAGGTTTGGTAAATGAAAGTGCCCACGCTCTGCTGTGGGGAAAGAATTTGGCTTCCCAATTCTGGGTCTCTGTTCTCCCAGAGACCCAGTCCCACAATGATAGAGGAATCCAATGGAAGCACCACACCAGTGCACCTCTGGCCTGAGAAAGAACACCTTCGCCAGCTCCTGTGTGCATCAGAGGCCTCCGGGGATGGCCACACAGATTTGCTCTGCTGCCCTTATCTGACCAGTCAACAGTGGAGATACAGGGACTGTGCAGAGATGCAACACTGATGCGCTTATAAGTTGTTTGTGGTTCTCAGGCTGGGGACCAGGAGGGTCTAATCCTGGGCCCTAAGGGGCAGTAAGTTCATGTGGGTGAGGCCTGGCAGAGGGGATGTCTCCAGCAAGACAGCCTAGTGAGCAGGCATTCATGGATTGGGCGAGCCGAACACCACTTCTGCAGAGGAGGGTGGGTACTTTTGGGCAAATTGCTTACTCTCTGAGTCTCAGTTTAGCATTATTTTATGTAAAATGGGGACAATCATGGTGTACTAGGGTTCTCTAGATGGACAGAACTAATAGAAAAAAAAATATATATATATATATTCAAAGGGGAGTTTACTAAGTAACAGTCAGAAGATCATGAGGTCCCACAATAGGCTATCTGCAGGCTGAAGAGCAAGGAGAGCCAGTTCGAGGGCCAAAACTGAGGAACTTGGAGTGCAATGTTCCAGGGCAGGGAGCATCCAGCATGGGAGAAAGATGTAGGCCGGGAGGCTAGACCCATTTCTCCTTTCACATTTTTCTGCCCGCTTTATATTCTAGCTGTGTTGGCAGCTGACTTGATGGTGCGCACCCAGATTGAGGGGTGGTCTGCCTCTCCCAGCCACTGACTCAAATGTTAATCTCCTTTGGCAACACCCTCACAGACACACCCAGGATCAATACTTTGTATCCTTCAATCCAATCAAGTTGACACTCAGTATGAACCATCACACAACTCAGTATGAACCATTATGAAAAGTTTTTGTAAGTATTAAAGTCCACCCAGGTGCTTCACAGAGCATTTCCTAAGTCTCCTCTAGATAAGAAGAATCTGATTTGCAGTCACCATGCTTTATGGAAGCAGAAAGGTTGGGAGATTCTTTGATCAAACAACTTTGTGAAATGCAGAGTTAAACCAAGTGAAGCAAGTTCCTTTACAGTGGGTTTTCTTGAAGGCTTACTCATGCCGTTGTTGATGATTCTTCATGAGGCCCTGGCCTACCGAACCCTTTTCAAGGGCATGGGAAGAGCTTCTGTGTGTCAAAGCGCAGAGCCCATGCAGGGAGAGGGGCTGCTGCTTCTCAGAGCCTCATCTAGGGCAAAACTAGGTCCAAGACAAAATGAACAAGGGCTGTTTATTTTTAAACAGGCTGCCATTGCTTTCATTTCAGCAGAGGATTCAAAGGTGTTAGTCAGAGATTCAGCCTTATTTCTAGGGGTAAAAAAGGAAATACTAAGACAGCCTCAGATTGGCAAGTGTTGTATTTAAGTGGGATTTTTGGAAGGCAGGAGACACTCTAATTCTAGTATACCTGTCCATCCTTGGCTAGATACAAAGGGGCAGGTGAGTGGTTTGGGGATATTTCACAAGAGAAAGGATTGTTCAATGGGAAGGATAGGGGATTTCCATCATCTGTTGTTTCCTGGGAAAAGTGGGGACCAGTGGGTTGCTTTTGTGGGTTAAACTATCATGAGCATGTTCCTTGGGAGATGCTGTCATGGCAGGTGCTTTCTCAGCCTCCAGTTACACATGGGCAAAATGAGACGTCACCTCCCCTCCCCTTGAGTCACTTCCCCATTTGGCTGTTTTGGAATTTAAATTTTAAAATCTGAGATTGAAAGCGGTAACCAGTATAGGAGGAGGTGATTTCTACAGCATAGAACAGCAATTAAACACATAGTTAATAATGGCAGAACCAACTGTTAAAATAAAATGAATAATATTGTGTTAATGTGTTATGACAGATGTTACTGGGGATAGTTTATCTATTTCACATCTACAAGGTGCCAGGCACTCAGCACTTTACATCCATCACTGCATTCAACACCTGCCCACAACAGCTCTATGAAAGAGACAGAATCATCATCTCCATTTCAGTGTTTATGAAACAAAAGCACAGACAGCTGGTCAGCTCTAACCTAATCAGCTCATTAGAGCTGATTACATTAGATTATTTAATCTGCCCAAAGTTACAGTGCTTGTGGAAGAGCCAGACTCCAGGCCCTAGAGTATGCTTCTGAATGACTTCACCACATTTAACAGCGTCCAGACTCACCTCACTTCCCTGGTTGCTGGGCAGCCCTGCAAGCTCAGTGTTGCTATCCTTAGGCTACATTCAAGCACACTGGGGCACAGGGAGGGGGCGTGACTTTCTCAGGGCTACCCAAGAGTCTACATGGCAGAGGGAGGCAGGCAGTTGGGGTAGTTCACACCTGAGCATCCAGCCTTAGCTCTCCCTCTCCAGGGATCTTGCCATTCCTCTTCAGCCTCCACCAGCCCGGCTCCTGTAGGAATACCAGAAGGAAGACTCCCTTGACTGCCTCACAGGTGGAGAAGCTCTGCATGGAGCCAGGAGATGGTGGTGAGCAATAGATGGGCTCAGCTCCCCACATAGCCTGTGTCTCCAAGGTCCATGCTCTGACCCCTACCTGCCTCCTACACTAACCTGGGCAAATGGTATAACCGTTTCCTGATGGCAGGGACACCAGCCCATGAGCCACATCCCTACAACCCTAGGAATCAATTACAGATTTTCCAATAGCAGGGAGCATCAGAAAAGGAGGAGAACTTCCTCTGAGGGCATGGGCTAGATGGTGCCTCCCTCCACAATCAGGCCTCTGGGTGACTCGCGTGAGGTGCCAGGTACCCACTTATGATGGCAGGTCCTCGAATGACCAGTCTGTTTTCTGGCTCCCATGGGTTGGGAAACCCTGCAGCTGAATGCAGAGGGAGGGATGTCTTGATGGGATGGGTTCCTGCCTTAGGAATGAAGGAGGGGGCAGCAGCGCTCCTTGGCCTCTCCTCCCAGTTGACAGTTCTCTAGCCTTTTTGGTTCTGTCAAATGATGCCCAGTGGATATCTGTGTGAACTTTTCTCATCCACAAGATGGAAGCTCTGTGAGATGTGGAGCAGGACTAAATCACCTCTGCACTTCTGGTGTCTGGCTTCACAGAGTGTCCACAGGGCCACGTGTGCTTCAATTCTTTCTAGAGCCTTGTGGACTTGCAAGGGAATGGAAGACTCTTATGGGGGTATCTAAGCCCCAGAAACAAAGTGAATAGCAGGGTGTGGTAGAGAGGTAA